CTAATACAACATTGTAAATTAACTACACTTCGATTTAAAAAAAGAGTAGTAGACTGATGAACAGAATATTTCAGATCCATTTAATTAGGTTAATTAGAAAATGACTCCAGCAAGGTGAGCTTCACGTTCTCAGCATCCCATGGGATTGTAAACCAAGCTCATTTTCTTATCTCCTCAGGAACACAGCAAACCACACGTCCCAGTCCTGGCACCCAGGTGTGGCCTCCTGTCAATGGCATGAGAGTGGAAGGGATGTCTGTGTGCAAGTGGTTATGACTTCTGCCCTCCTCTCTCATTTCTCCTATGCAAACAGGATGATGCCAGAGCAAACTTAAAGCCAGATGGTGACAGGAGAAGGAACCTGGGTCCCTGAACAATTGTGCTCCCCAGAGCTCCATTCTGACCCGCACTGGACCTTGATGTGAGCAAGAAACAACCAGGCCCCCAAAGAGGCCACACTGAGGAGCTTCCCACAGACATCCAGAGGCAGGAGTTCCCTGCCTCTGGATGTCTGTGGGAAGCTCCTCAGTGTGGCACACATCCAGTCAGCTCGTGGTTGTCCTTGTTTACGCATACTTTGGTCTCCTTTTCAGGAACATGGTTTGAATCTTCATCTGCAAGCTTTAGGCATCTCTTCCTGTGGGCCTGGCCCTAAATGCTTCTATTCTGGCTTTTCCTCACAGCCTCCCCATGAAGCAGGTGCCTCACAGGCATCATTTTCCATAGGATGAAATCAACTCTCAGGGAGATAAATGTACTTGCTGAAAGGCAGAGATCTGATAAGCAGCTGAACAAAGTTGTACACCAGGTTGGCTGCATCTGGTGTCTGTAATGTATAACCACAAAGCTATGCAGCACTGCTCCAGAATGGGCCAAGTCCTGGCACGATGGTGATCTCTATTTAAAAAGACAGAAATATCATCAACCAAAGAAAATAAATTGATTATTTGAAGCTTAATCAAAAATAAAACTTTGCTGTTCAAGAGACAGTTAAGAAAGTGAAAACTCAAGTCACAATATATATTTGCAAGAAATATATGTGATAAATGACTGATTCTCAATTTATAAATAGTCCTTATACCAATAATAAAAAAATAACACAATTTAAAGTATTTGCAAAAGTTTTGAAGGTATACATCACCAAAGAAGTATAAATGGTAAGGAAGAAAATGAAAATATGCTCCTTGTCATTAATCACCATTGTAAACACAATTTAAAGCCATAGTGAGGTACTACTACACACTTATTTGAATGACTAGAATTCAAGAACAGATAATACCAAATTGATAAAGATGTGAAACAGTTACTACTCTCATATATTTCTTGAGTGAATAGAAACTGGGTGACTTCCCTGGTGGCCCAGTGGTTAAGACTCCACGCTTCCAGTGCAGGGAGTGAGGGTTCAATCCCTGGTCCAGGAACCTAGATCCCACATGCCGTGCGGCCAATAATAGTAAAAATAATAGGGCTGCCCTGGTGGCGCAGTAGTTAATAATCTGCCTGACAATACAGGGGACACAGGTTCGAGCCCTGGTCCGGGAAGATCCCACATGCCGTGGAGCAACTAAGCCCATGTGCCACAACTACTAAACCTGCGCTCTAGAGCCTGTGAGCCACAACTGCTGAGCCCGTGTGCCACAACCACTGAAGCTGCGTGCCTAGAGCCCATACTCCGGAACAAGAGAAGCCACCGCAATGAGAAACCCAGCCACTGCAACAAAGAGTAGCCCCCTCTCGCCGCAACTAGAGAAAGCCCGTGCACAGCAACGAAGACCGAATGCAGTCCCCCCAAAAATAAATAAATAAATAAAATAATAATAATAATAAATAGAAATCGGTAATTAACTTTAGAAAATACAACTGTACTCTTTTGAGATGGTATATATATACATATCATATGATATACACAGTAACTTCACTTACAGATATATCCTTAAGAAAAATTAAATCATATAACTCAGAAACACTTCTGTGGAAATAGTCACAAAAATAGCAGCTTTATTCATAAAAGCCAAAACACAATATAATATTTGTGATTTTACTTTTATTTTTCCCCCATCATGTGCTAAAATATCTAAACTAATCCCAAGATAGAGTGGCTCCTGCTACATCTCAAGTCCCCATGCTGGAACCTACCTCAATTTCTATTTTTTGTAAGTATTTGACTCTGTCAGAAGTGGAAACCTAAGGCCACCCAATCAGAATACGCCTGCTCAGCTTTAGTTTTTCACACCCTAGCTCCAAAACTTCCCTGTACCCCATATAAGAAAAGTTAACCCAGGTATGACCAATCAGCAATTGCCTAGTATGATTTCCTTGTCCTCAAGGACAGGAATTTTGTGTAAGTAATCTGTGCATTCTGAAAGGCTCTTTGGAGCTCCTTCCTGTTTGCTACACTGGATGATTCCCAGTTTGTGAATAAGTACATAAAAGCCAACTGGATTCCAAGATTAATGACTCTGAAATTTTCCCTTAACACATATGTCAAGACTTTTTTCCTTTTTTAAAAAAGATAGATTTCTATGGTCCAAATATGTGGGGATTTTTTGTTTTGTTTTTTTTTGCAGTACGCAGGCCTCTCACTGTTGTGGCCTCTCCCGTTGCGGAGCACAGGCTCCGGACGCGCAGGCCCAGCGGCCATGACTCACGGGCCCAGCCGCTCTGCGGCATGTGGGATCTTCCTGGCCCGGGGCACGAACCCGTATCCCCTGCATCGGCAGGCGGACTCTCAACCACTGCGCCACCAGGGAAGCCCCAAATATTTTTAATTCAATTTTATATTCTACTCTTGAATTTTTAATTTCTTTGCTTCCTTTCTTCTTGTTTTTGGCAGGTGTAGCAATGTTACTTAGAGCTATCTGACATGTTCCCTGATTGATATACTGGTTTATGTAGTGCATATATCAATAGAAAGTAGTTTTTGCATGAAGGGACACAGGTTTTAAAGTAAATGTATAATACTAAACACTACTGCAAAATAATTTTAATAGATACCCAATGCTAGTTTATGATATTTACTAATATCTTCAGTGTTACCAACATTTACTTACTAACGTCAGACTTACTGAGTCTCATCAATCTGATTGGGTTCATTTGTATTTGCATTTTTTCCTGTTGGAAAATACGGTTCTTTTATTTTTAGAAAATTTAGTTTTTGGTAATTCTGGTAATTCTAATCTCAAGTGGCATACAAGAATTTTGCCTTCACGGGTTTTAAATATTTCTCTCATTAATTTGTAGTATTTATTGAATTTACTTATTATTTACATATTAATGCTTAAAAAGTATAGGTGGCTCAATATCTTATGTGTTTTCTTCTTATTTCAATTTTTATGACTTTTTAAAATAAAAGAAACCTGCTATTATGATATAGTTTGTGTATATGCTGTGATCATTTTTACATATGGGTTGAGAAGTCCTGCAAGGCATGCCAAATTAATAGTGCTGTGAAATGTGAAATAAAAAGGAGTCACTTATGTCAAGGGATTTTAACATGGAGCTGGGAGGCTATTAATTAGTGAACCTCCTGCACTTTCCCATCATGTCAAACCATGAAGTTTTTTTTTTTCTAACATCTTTATTGAAGTATAATTGCTTTACATTGTTGTGTTAGTTGCTGCTGTGTAACAAAGTGAATCAGCTATACATATACATATATCCCCCTGTCCCCTCCCTCTTGCGTCTCCCTCCCACCCTCCCTATTCCACCCCTCTAGGTGGTCACAAAGCGCCAAGCTGATCTCCCTGTGCTATGTGGTTGCTTCCCACTAGCTATCTATTTTACCTTTGTTAGCGTATATATGTCCATGCCACTCTCTCACTTCGTCCCAGCTTACCCTACCCCCTCCCCGTGTCCTCAAGTCCATTCTCTACGTCTGTGTCCTTATTCCTGTCCTGCCCCTAGGTTCTTCAGAACCATTTTTTTTTCTTAGATCCCATACATATGTGTTAGCATACGGTATTTGTTTTTCTCTTTCTGACTTACTTCACCCTGTATGACAGACTCTAGGTCCATCCACCTCACTACAAATAACTCAGTTTCGTTTCTTTTCAGAAAGCATAAACTTTTGATCTGGGCCAACGTGCACCCCACTTTGCCTTTAAAATCTCTTGACTTTTATTCCCCAGCTGGACACCTTTTGGGTTGTCACTTGAATGTGTGTCCACAATTGCAAATCTTTGATCCCAAACAAATGTGTCATGCTTGATTAATGCTGCTCAGATTTACTTAGGTCCACAGTATCAACGACAGACTTCATTATCTAATTTTATATACTTATTCTCTTAGCCAATGATGACGAACTCAGGGATATTTAGTTGCATATAATTCCCATTTTAATTTTTTATTCCAAAATATTATTGACTTGATTTTTCTTACTTGAAAATTCTTCCAAGATTTTTATAAAAACAACAACAACAAGTAGTACTGTGGCTACTTTCAGCCTTTTCACAACTGGAATGCTTTTTTGCTAATCCTGTATCAACTTTTATGTTGAAAGGTTATACATAAAGGCTTTGCTGGGTCTACTTTGATGTGTTTTTAATTTGTACTTCCCTCAAGGACAAGGTGCATTAATGCCCTGGGGCTTTTCACATCACAAACAGGCAGCGAGGGGAACTACATTACCCAGAAGCTTGTGTGGACCGGCCTTGTTCTCCTTTCCAATGAAGGCACCAAATTAAGGCTCTTCCGGATTTTGAACTAACCATGGGCGGGACTTCCGGCGTCTTTCTGATGGCGGTCGTTTGGCGGCTTTTGCTGCCGTCTGCAGGACCCGAGGCTCTAGGTCACTCGGTGGAGCGGAGCTTAGAGAAACTGGAAGGAGCCTGAGGGGGCGCCGTCCACACTGCCCAGGAGTGAGCGGGTTGCGGAACCCGCTTCCGGGATTTTCGGCCTAGGTCTCCGCCATTATCCTGCGCGTCTCCTGGCACCACCGCGCCCACAGGGTCCTATGTCAACCAACGCGGTGCAGGACCCGGCCCAGGTGACTGTTCCGTCCCCTCCCGCGCGCCCCCCCGATCCTGACCCAAATCCTCAAGCCCCCAGGGAAGGTCTCCTGCTCAGGGCACTGGGGTTCAGTCCCCTGCTTCCAGAACTTTAGGTGTGCGTGTGTGGTGGTCCCATTTCTGACAGGATGTGTGACACAGTGTGGAGCGTGTTAAACGCTGTGAGCTTGGCCCGTGCAAAGCATTGGAGGTGCTCAAGAGCCGGGAGCATTCGGGAGTCCAGGACTTAGGCTGTCACCATATGGACATCAGTCCGCCAGTGACCTCCTCCCCCAGGGTAGGAGGTTCTTTCTGCAGGGACAGGGCATTTAAGGAGGAGTCAACAGACTGCGTCAACTGAGCCAACAGTCATCATTCTGGGAACCATGGAGGGTTGTGAATAAATCAGGACGACCCTCTGAGTTTTAAAGTATTTCAAAGGCTGCTCAGGGGAGAACAGACTGGGGAGGGGGAGCTGAGGGTGAAGGCAGGGAGACCTGGGAGAGCCTAGTGCATTCCACTCCAAAGAGTAAGGTGGCTTCTGGATCAGAGTGGTGTCTATGGAAGTTGCTGACCTGAAACAAACAGCCTGCACGCTATTTCACTTGCAAAGATGGGGTTTTTTGTTTGTTTTTATTCCAGAATCATCAGGGAATTGCAATTGGGGTGTGCAACCAAGGTGAGCTAAGACTTTTATAGAGATTAAAGAAGGAAGTTAGAAGGGCTGTAGTCACCAAAGAGTCCATGGCTTTTCATTGTCCAAGTCCTTCCCAGGAAAGAAGAGAGTCTTTCTTCTGCCTTTTGGATACTGTTATTGTCTCAGGTCAGTGAGGGCTCCACCTTCCTGTGTGCCAACTTTAATTGAGGTTTCTGTATATTAATTTTTTTACAAAGGAATTTAAGTAATAAGATTCCCAGTAAACCTTAAAGATAATTGGTAAGATTTCCTGGTGCTGTGAATGTGGCTCTGAGCTAAAGGACAGATTACAGTACAATAAAGGTTTTCTTTTGGCAGAGCATCTGGGAAGACTTGAGACCAGACTGATGTGAGAAGTCAGTTTTAGGGAGAGATTAAAAGCTGGATTCGGGACATGCTGTTTCTGAGATCCCAAAGTTGAGGTAAAAATAGGAGCTGCTGGAATCTGTAATCTGGAATTGAGGGAGGAGGACACTGGCGGACTGATGTCCATGTGGTAACAGCCTAAGTCCTGGACTCTAGCCAAGACAGGATCTCAAATTTAGGAGGGAAAAGTTGTCACTTTTCTGTGCAAGGGGACCTCAGATGAAAGTAGAGAGACCTGGGGCTGGAGGGCAGGGCAGAGGGGGTGGGACTTTCTGAGGCTGCCTGAAGATGGGAGGGTCCTATGGTTCCAGGGCTTTCTGGGGAAGCAAGGGTATAAGGAGTAAGGAGCCTTACCTGGGATGGAGATGGAGAAGAAGGTGTGACGTGTAGCTTCACTGCTCTGAACACGCAGCTGACTGTCTATTCCTTGTGGAGCCAGAAAACAGTCAGCCAGGGTGGTGGAGCAGCTCAGGCCCAGTCAAGGGCACACGTGCCTCAGCTCTCCCAGGAAACTACAAGGTTAAAAATGTAGAGATTTGGGCTTCCCTGGTGGCACAGTGGTTGAGAGTCCGCCTGCCAATGCAGGGGACACGGCTTCGTGCCCCGGTCTGGGAAGATCCCACATGCCGCAGAGCGGCTGGGCCCGTGAGCCATGGCAACGGGAGAGCCCACCACAACAGAGAGAGGCCCGCCTACAACAAAAAAAAAAAAAAAAAAAAAAAACAGAAAAAGAAAAAGTATAGATTTAGCAAGTTAATCTTGTGTAAACAAGTAATAACTGCTTAAAATGAGAATATATATCTGTGCTATAATAATATGCATATGTTTAGGTTTTATTTTGTGCTCTTCACCTAGAGCTCTGAACCCCTTGGAATTTCCTGGATTTAAGATTGTTTTTTGTTATTCACAACTAACCTCTTTAATCACAAAGGAGTTTGACTTAGGGTGGGTCCCCTAGATAACCTCAGGACTGGACTGGTCACCTGGAAAATAAGGTGAATAGAAGGTTAAACTTTCATCTCCACATGGGACCTCCCAAGGATCAGGGGGGAGCTGGAGATTAAGTGTAAAAACTGCTGAACAATGAAATTCAAGGTTCCTTCAGATTGGTGAACACATTGAAATGGTGGAAGTGCTGGGAGGGTGGCATGTACTGAAAAGGCCTAGAAACCCCCTGCTGCCCTCCATCCCCCCCAACCCTGACCTAGACGTCGCTTCCATTTGACTGTTCCAAAGTTGTACATTACAGTAAACCAGAAAAAGTAAGAAAAGTGTTTTCCTAACTTCATGGGTCATTTCAGCAAATTATCAAAACAGAGAAGGGGTTCATGGGAAACCCTGAATTTGTAGCCAAGTGGGACAGAAGTCCTGGTAGCCTGGGAACCAGGGGTCGGAACTGGCTTCTCAAAAGAGGGCAGTTTATGGGTTTGATGCCTTAAACCTGTGGATTCTGTCACTAAGTTCAGGTAGTGTAATAATAGGAATGAATTGTAGGGCACCATGGTGGTGTCATAAAATTAGATAATTGGTGGCTGAAAAAAGATACTTTGTCTCAGAAAGCCTTGAAAGACATGTAAGAAAAACCTAATTTTCAAAAACATTTATAGAAATCTTAATCCTGTGTTCTGTAATAGCTGAATCTTACCATGGGAGAGGTAATAATGCATTTGGTATGTACACATTATGAGTTAGACATCCTAAGTGTTGCCATTTACTTGAAGACACTGAGACTCAAAGAGGGTGAGTGTTTTTTTTCTTGCCACACCACACGGCATGTGGGATCTTAGTTCCCCAACCAGGGATGGCACCCGGGCTCCCTGCAGTGGAAGCTTGAAGTCTTAACCACTGGACCGCCAGGGAAGTCCCAAGGATGTTGAGTCTTTGTCTAAGGCTATCGAGTTGTCAAGCTATAGCTCTGAAGAGTGAGGATCTGAGGTCAGAGGTCAGCCTCAGATGACTCATGTCCAGGAAAAGGAAGGGAAGAAACAGCTCAGCCTTTACATCCTCACCATAATCACCTTTACCTCAGATACTCCCTCTTTTCACAGGTTCCCATGGTGGCAGCAGCATTTATGGTCCCTGGACAGGTAAGTGGAAGAAGCCCCTGTACCTACCCAGATGTCCTCCCTACCCCTGGTCCTGACACACAGATATATGAGACAGTGTTGTCCTGGGATTATGGGCCCTTAGGTCTGGGCCCTGTCATCATCTCAGGCACAGGACCATTAATCAAAGCCAGAAGTTGTACAGAGGTGTTCCCATGTGTCCAGTGGAGAAGGTCAAGTGGTGACATGTCCTTGGGCACAGCCTGGAGATGAGACTGAGAGGGGAGTCTTCAGGGAACTGCCGAACCCATGACATGGGCTGATAAATACTGAGGTCATTAGTCATTTCTGTGATGGCAGCCTGAGGAGCTGGGCCTCTCCTGAGGGGGTGGGTCCATGACACGTGGCCTCAGAAGAGGGAAGTGATCTGACGCTGGGTCTGAAGAGGCTGTTCTGCCTGCCGAGAGGAAGAAGACTGGGGGTGAGGGTGGAGCCGGGGGCCCAGAGGAGGGTACAGTCCTGGTGAATGTCGATCGTGACTGGATCCTGGCAATGGCTCTGTAGCAGGAGAGGAGGTGAGTCTCTGAATCTCGTTTGTGGTAGAGCTGATTTTCTGCTGTACAGGATGAGAGAGAGTAGTCTGACATGACCCCAGGATGTTTGCCTCTAGGTGACGGTGGGGATGCCATGTCTGAGACGGGAAGTCAGAAGTAGGAGTAATGGACAAAAGGACTGTCCAGAGTTCCTTGTCCCCAGGCTGAGTCTGAGATATTGCCAGGGTGTCTCGGGGAGGTGTCAAGTGGGCCACTAGAAACACACACCTGGAGTTCAGGAAGGATGGGGTTCAGGATTGAAGATACCCCTGAGAGGTGGACGGCATGTGGACCAGGTCAGATTACAGGTCCTCAGGTCATGTGTGGGTGCCATGAAAGTTGTAGAGTGGGGAGGGACATGCCCTCCCTGGGCACGGGGACAGGGGTGGCTGTCATCACTAAGATGGATGAGGCAGTGCAGTGACCATGAGTGTGTGGGGGGTGGGAGTGGCCTCAGGGGAGGTCCTGGTCATGGTACAGAATTCAAAGGGGTGGATAAGGTATGGATTCAGAAGCTAAGCAGGAATGGAGGTCAGATGATAGGGAGGTAAGGCCTGGGGCATTGTTTCCCCTCCATAGGCTCAGAGTCTTGTGATGACTGCGGTTGGAGCCTGAAGTGAGTGAGACTGGACGACAGACCAGCTGAGGGCAGATGAGCGCAGCTGGGACAGGGTCTTGGGCTGGGCTGGGGGGGTGTCTGGGGGGCTGGGCTTGGAATGAGAGGACTAGAGAGAGGAAGGGGTGAGTGGTGCAGGGTCAGCATGTGGGACACTGTGGAGGACAAGGACTCGGGCATCTGACCCCGCAAGGTGTCTGGGTGCTGATGTGGGAACAGGGATCAGGGCCATGTGGGGAAACAGAAAGTAGTACTGGGACCGCCTGTAGCAGTGGGTCCTGCAGAGGCCTGGGGAAGCACTGAGTGCTGGGTGGCACGAGGGGAACATGATGAGGTGCCGAAGGCCTGGGGCCGAGTTGGTGGCGTGGTGTGGCGTGTGGGTCACGGTCGGGCACGTGAGGGAGTTGTGACCCTGCAGGGCTGGGCAATGGAGAGGGAGGAAATGTGAGCATGGACTCAGGGCCCTTGTCCCCAGGCTTTGCTCCAGGGGGCTGAGCACAAGTGTCATTGTGTGTGGTGTGATCTTAGGAGAGTTGACTCTGAGGAGAGTGGCTGGGGGTTTGTGTGGCAGCCTCAGAGCGTCTTGTGAGACTGCTTGTCTCCCTCTCTGTTTTAACTGAATGACATAACACTAGCAGGTTCCTGTGGCATCAGGGCCTGGTGTGTCCTCTGAGCTGGGTCACTGGGGTGGATGACCATGAACTGGGGATCCTGGTTGCAGAGGCTGCTGTGAACTCACTTGTCCCCCTCATGACAGGGCCATGTGATCTTTGAGGATGTAGCTGTGTCCTTCTCCCAGGAGGAGTGGGGTCTCCTTAACGATGCTCAGAGACTCCTGTACTGTGACGTGATGCTGGAGAACCTGTCACTTATAGCCTCCCTGGGTAAGGACCCCTGTTCCACACCGTTGCCCCGTATGGGACTCTGCCCTTCTTTTTGCATGGCTCACTCCATCCGTCCCAGCCTGGACCTTGGACATTGCTTACTTCCCCGATTTCCTGGCACTTGAGCTGCATTCCCCCACCCTGTGTGTGTTCAGCCCTGTACCATAGGCTCTGAAGCCTTTCACAGAAGCCTTTGGTCTCAGAGGCTTGAAGCCTGTCCAGCTGATGCCACTTAGCTTTGCCACTGCTAGGTGTGTTGACTGTTCAGATGTGTGCAAGATCCGTGTCACACGTTCTAACCCTTTTTTTTGCACTGCCTGTGTCAGGAATTACAGACACTTACATGGTCAGCATTTGTGGTCAACCCTAGATTATTTTTGCAAGACTCCTTAAGGTTCTTCTAGTGATACATTTTTTTTCCTGAAATCTGTCATTGGTTGGTTCACTCTGGGCCAGTGTCTTTCTCCTAATGGCCCTATTTTCCTCTGAGGAGTTTGATCTGGTAGGGCTCATAGTCACCCAGCCTGAGCTGAAAGCTGGAGGCAACCCTGGGTGCCTGACGAGGTAGGCCCCTGTCTAGTCATAGGATGAGGGTTAATTGCATCCTGAGCCTGGTGAGCAGGAGCTGTAGGAAGGCATGATATCATTGATGAGTTCTAATCCTACAGGGAAATGTCCTTTGATCTCTCCTCTTTCAGCGTCAAGACTCATCATGCTCATACTTAATTTCTTTCTTCCACTTCTCCCCATTTTGACACTTCGCCCACTTTTCATTTCTACTGTGATTTCTGACTCCTGTTTTCCACCTTAGTGTCCTCCAAAACTCTCCTTTCCCCCTGTCTGCACTGTTCTCCAATTTTATGTATTTTTTATATTGTATATGCATATCCTTAATGTATCATGAGAGGTACATGTTTACTTACATTGTCTTTGAACACTGATAGTCAGGTGTAATTGCATTTTCCTGGATTGAGACACGCATTCTACAGAGCTGACCCTTGTCACCACCAGAAAGTCCTGCTGAAAGCCATCTGCCTAGGAGTGGGTTGTTCTAGCCTCTCCTCCTGGCACGGCGCCACTACCTGGTATCCTGTGTTCTTGCTGGTTTGAGACATTTCCTGTTCTGCGACCATCAGAGACCTAGCATTGTAGAGTATCCCCTTCTACCACTTGACCCTTCCTCCCTTGTTTTAATAACAAACCCATGGGCTTATTCCTACATGTGTCATGCACAAATTTGTAGTGGACTCCTGTACCACCAACGTCTCCATACAGTTTATCAGCATTTTTGTGCTTTCAGGGTGTTGGAGTGCATTAGGTACTGAGGAGGCCACTTCTGAACAATGTGTTTCTGTAAAACAAGTGACACAAGACAGGAATCCAAATCCAGAACTATCTATCCTGAAGACTCTTACTTCAGATATGGGTGCCCTGGTAGAGAAATATGTTTTGTACCTGGCTGAGCACCAAGGAGTGCATCCTGGGCTGAAACCGTCCTCTTCTGGGGCTTGTGGGAATATGTTCACTTCTCACCTACAACAGCACCAGAAGCAGCCCAGTGGAGAGAAACACCTCAGAAGGGAAGAGAATGGGGCCTTGCTTGTGACGAGCTGCAAAGTCTTTTTACCCGACAATATGTTCACATGCGGAGAGATTGAGAAGGCTTTCTTAGGCAGCTTGGGCTTTCCCCAGCACCAGCCCTCCCACGATGGACAGCATCCAGGAAGAAGCAGGGAGAGCAGGGAGGTCTCTCACCCTGGACAAGGGCATTACGAGTGCAGCGAATGTGGCAAAGCCTTCAGTAAAAAGTATAAATTCACGGAGCACCTGAGAGTTCACACTGGAGAAAAACCTTATGGGTGCAGCGAGTGCGGCAAATTCTTCAGACTCAGGGGAGGTCTTTCTCATCATCGTAGAGTTCACACAGGAGAAAAGCCTTTTGATTGTGGTAAATGTGGGAAAGTCTTCATCTACAAATGTAAACTTGTTCAGCACCAAAGAGTCCACACTGGAGAAAGACCCTATGAGTGTAATGAATGTGGGAAAGCCTATGCCCGCAAGGATTCACTTGTCCAGCACCAAAAGGTCCACACTGGAGAGAAACCTCATAAATGCAGTGAATGTGGGAAGCTCTTCCTTTACAGAAATAAACTTCTTGTGCACCAGAGGATCCATACTGGAGAAAAGCCTTTTAAGTGTACCGAATGTGGGAAGTCCTTCAGTTATAAAACCAGTCTTATTATCCACCAGAGAACCCACACTGGAGAAAGGCCTCATATGTGCAGTGAGTGTGGGAAAGCCTATGTCAACAAAAAAAGTCTTATTGTACACCAGAGAATTCACAATGGAGAAAAAGTTTATGGGTGTAAGAAATGTGGGAACTTCTTTATAAGCAGCTTTGCCCTCAATAAACACCAGAATGTTCACACTGCACAAAGGCGTTATGAGTGCAGTGAATGTGGGAAAGCTTTCAAGAGGAAAATCAGACTTGCTGAGCACCAGAGAATCCACACTGGAGAAAGACCCTATGAGTGTAATGAATGTGGGAAAGCCTTCAAGCTGAAGAATACACTTGTTAGCCACCGAAATGTCCACACTAGAGCAAAGCCTTTTCAGTGCAGTGAATGTGGGAAGCCCTACAGTAACAAAACAAGTCTTGTTGTCCACCAGAGAATCCACACTGGAGTAAAGCCTTTTCAGTGCAATGAATGTGGGAAGCCTTACAGTTACAGAACAAGTCTTATTGTCCACCAGAGAATCCACACTGGAGAAAGGCCTTATGAGTGTAGTTCTTTGTATGTAGCTCCAAGCTCATAAAAAAGAGGAAAGTTCACACTGGAGAAATGTCTTCTGGACTTATGTGTTCCTTCACTTGAGTTAATATCTAGCACCACAACTCCTGTGTTGTAGAGTAGGTGAACGTTTAACTTATGTGGGGTCAAACTTTTTTGTGTGTGTGTGGTACACGGCCCTCTCACTGTTGTGGCCTCTCCCGTTGTGGAGCACAGGCTCCGGATTCTCAGGCTCAGTGGCCATGGCTCACGGGCCCAGCCACTAAGTGGCATGTGGGATCCTCCTGTACAGGGGCACGAACCTGTGTCCCCTGCATCGGCAGGCGGACTCCCAACACTGCGCCACCAGGGAAGCCCCAGTCAAACTTTTTAAAGTGGTAGTATCCTTTTACAGTCTTGCCAGAAACACCAGAACCCAAGTTCCCATTCTTTCCATTCTTACCAACACTTGGTATGTGCAGGGTTTCTAATTTTTGTGACATCGTAGGTGTATAGTGGTATCAAGTGATTTTAATTTGCATTTCCCTAGTGACATGATGCTGACTGGTCTTCCATGTGTTAATTTCCAGCCATATATTGTTATTGAAATTTCTATTCATTTGATTTGTTGTTCTAATTACTGAGTTTTGACATTTCTTCATGAATTATTGAATACGGTCCTCTAATGGAAATACTTAGCAATACTTTCTTCCAGAATTGGTCTTGTCTTTTCAATTACTTTTCCAGAGAAAAAGTTCTTAATTTTAGTGTAGTCTAATTTGTCCATTCTTATACTTTTTCCCGTTTCCTCCTGTAACTTTTATGGTTTAGGGTTTTTATTGATGCAAAGGAATCATTTTCAATTAATTGTGGGAGTTATTTTTTAAAATATAGACACCCAATTGCTGCAGTGATACTGATTTAAAAGATTATACCTGGGCTTCCCTGGTGGCGCAGTGGTTGAGAGTCCGCCTGCCGATGCAGGGGACATGGGTTCGTGCCCCGGTCCGGGAAGATCCCACATGCATCTGGAGCCTGTGCTCCGCAACGGGAGAGGCCACAATAGTGAGAGGTCCGCATACCACAAAAAAAAAAAAAAAAAAAAAAAAAAGATTATACCTTTTCCCCTGAATTGCTTTAGTATCTTCATTGAAGGTCAATCATTTATGTATATGTTTATTTCTGGAATTTCTATTCTGTTGCATTTATCTACTTTATTTATGCCAGTATTTTCATGTATTAACTAATTTGTTTTTATAGTATGTCTTGAAATCAAGGTTGTATACTCCTTTGACTTTCTTTTTTTCAGTCATTATAGCCTTTCTTGGTTCTTTGCTTTTCCATATGAAGTTTAGAATTCACTTTTCAGCTTATACAGCACAAAAAATCCTACTAGGAGTTTCACTGGGCTTGCATTTAGTCTTCAATTTATTTTTATTTTTATTTTTTGGCTGTTCCATGCAGCTTATGGGATCTTAGTTGCCTGATCAGCAATTGAACCCAGGCCAGGGCAGTGAAAGCGCTGAGTCCTAACCACTGGACCTCCAGGGAATTCTCCTAATCTTTAATTTAGAAAGAAATACTGAGTGTCCCAATCCATAAACATGATACATCTCCTTTTATGTAGATCTTATTTAATTTTGGATGGAAATGTTTTTAGATTTCTTTTTATAGGTCTTGCATATGTATTTTCTAAATCTGATAATATTGTGAATGAGAATTAAAAAATTTTTCTTTGTGAAATGTTCAGTGCTAGTACACTAAGAGAGATATCAAACTACGGATAGAAGTGAGCCTTCTTAATCCTACAACATCTACAAAGAGTAATTAGAAATACTATACCTTTGAACCATTATTAAACTATTGCCACTAGAATAAAAGGAGGGCAGCTGCTCATTGTTCTCTTATTCAGTATCATCCTGGAGTTCCAATTTCATTCAATACGAAAAAAAAAACCTGGCAAAATAATGAATATGTAGCAATTGGAAAGGAAGAAAACACCTAAAATATATCCTCAGTTTTCATCTTCACTATGAATCCAAATATGGACACTCATTTTAGTGCCTCAACCCATCATAAACTCATAATTGTTTCATCACCCATTCGCTGACCTTCTTACTTCCTTAGGACCCATCACCTTCTATTACGCTATGCAACTTAATATCATAGAAGAACTGCTTATTTTATTTTTCTATCAAATACAGAGTAAGTTCCAGTAGGAAAATATGTATTTACATGTTGTGCACTGATACATTCTGTATTCCTAGAAACATGTCTGAAACACATATGGTACATTTTTATTTTTGGCCTTACTGCGTGGCATGTGGGGTCTTAGTTCCTGGACCAGGGATCAAATCCTTGCCCCCTGAAATGGAAGTGCAGAGTCTTAACCACTAGAACGCTGGGCAAGTCCCCCATGTGGTACCTACTGACATCTTAAAATATGGAACAAAATGATAATGCACATTTAACATTCATTTGCACAACTGTGGGTGTACTTTCTAACTCTCCTCACCCTGCTTTTTCCTTCAGTTTTACTACCATGAATGCTCTGAGTTATAGGAAGAAATTATGTTTTGTGAAAAGCCTTTAAATCTACTAAAAAATCCCCAGTAGACATTTTAGTGGTTTCCTTCTCTCACTTATTAGATGTCAGGTGTGTGTGTGTTTTTTTTTTCCTCACATTCCAGTGGGATTTTGATTATTTCAAAAACAAGTTTTCCACCATCAATTTCTGCCAGTCCTCATGGATATCTATCTCATTAAGCACTTTTATTATTTTATTTTTTTTTAGTTTATTTATTTCTTTTTGGCTGCTTTGGGTCTTCGTTGCTGTGCGTGAGCTTTCTCTAGTTATAGCTAGTGAGAGCTACTCTTCGTTGCAGTGTGCAGGCTTCTCTTTGGGATGGCTTCTCTTGTTGTGGAGCAAGGGCTCTAGGTGCGTGGGCTTCAGTAGTTGTAGCGTATGGGCTTAGTTGCTCCGTGGCATGTGGGATCTTCCCGGACCAGGGCTCAAACCCATGTCCCCTGCATTGGCAGGCCGATTCTTAACCACTGCGCCACCAGGGAAACCCTAAGTACTTTTAATAGCTCTGGATAGTTACACAGTCTGAAATGTTTTTCTGAGTTTGTCTCCTCTCCATATGCAGACACTGTCACTGCACTTACAGGTGACGTAATCACTTCCAAGGAGCAGATGACATCGTGGGGTTCTAAACCTTTATCTCAGGCTTATGTGTCCCCATTGCACACTCAGATGCTGCCATGGCATCCTTGTTATGGGAGCAAATACACATTTGGTAAGTATCTCTTCAGGTATCTGATTCTTAGAAAACATTTTTGTCAGAAAACTGGAAATTAACTCTTTCTAAAATAAATTTCACTTCCTGAGGTCAGGACAATAAAAAAGGAACAATCTTATATAGGTTATAGATATAGACAGACATAAGAACAAAGCCATAAAAACAGGAAAGGCATTTGCTGAGGAAACCAGAGGCATGTTGCCCCTCATCAACGTGCATCAGGAGTGCCTGACAGTTCCCCTCTCTCCTCAGTTGCATTGTTTTGAAACTTGTTTCACTGGCTTCTCACTAAACACACTGATCATAAACAGGGTTCACTGTAGAGGCTTCATGATAAGGTAGGTTGTGAGTAATAAGATGAAGAAGATAAGCTCCTACTCTGAGTAGATGCCTAGTGTCTGTTGTATCTGCTGATGAGGGGCATGTTGTGTCATGGAGACTTGAATGATGTGTCTCTAAATTTTTATCCTTGGTGAAATGCTGTTCATTGCATCTCAAGTACTTGGATGTTCTCTTTATCATAGTAATCAACACTCTCTACCCTCCCAGGGCCTTGGCTTCCATTCCTCACCTATAAAAATGGATCCATTCTTCTGTCATCTGTATGTCTATCATCCACCTATATGTCTACCATCTATATATCTATCTCTATCATCTTTGCCTTATTGTGATTTCATCTCAATGACATGTCCCATTTATAAGATAATTTTCTTAAACAGAAAATAAAAATTTGGACCAGACATCCTCTTAGAAGAATGGAGTCACCCTGTGCTCAATGAGAACAGGGCATTTAATTTAGACCCTTCCTGTGTCTCTGCAGAACCTCTATGATCAGGGGAAGTTGTCAATCATTACTACCTGTGACTCACTGGAGGTCATTAAGAGTGGACTTATCCGCAACCTAAGCAATGTCATGGTTGTTAGACTCAGATTTATGCACACTCCCAAATTCCCACGGGAAATTCTACTGGCATAAGTTTTTGTTATTTAACTTCATCTTGTGATTCTTATCAAGATTTCTGGTTCTTTCTTTTGTCCCTTATTTTGCTTCATTTTCTAGTTTTGTAACCTATTTTCATCACACTGGTGATATTTTTTACTTCAACCTTAAATAGTATTATAAAACTAATGTTTACTATGAATATTTTGAATGAACCCACTGGTGTATAAAGTTAAACTGAATAATGATATTGATACACTACACTCCTCCTCCCTTACAAAGTCCGCATCCCAGGGAAGCAACACTTCACAATTGGTGAGGATCTCTCCAGACAGAAGTGACAACTTCATAGAAATATTTGATAAGATCTCAGAGAACACCCCATAACCACTGGATCACCAGGGAATTCCCTCCCTTGGATTTTTTAATTGAAGTATTTATTGTGAAAATCAGTGATTCACATGCAAGGGTAAGAATGCAGAGAGGGAGTTCCCTGGTGGTCTAGTGGTTAAGATTTGGTGCTTTCACTGCCGTGACCCAGGTTCAATCCCGGGTTGGGGAACTGAGATCCTGCACACCTTGTGGCACAGAAAGGAGAGGACAAAGGAAGGGAAAGGGAAGGTAAGGAATCAGAGAGATCCTGTGTGTACTTTACCCAGTTTCCCCAATAGTAAGACTATATTATATCACAACAATTATATTGACGTTGATACTATCACCTGATCTTATTCAGATTCCTCTAGTTGTACTCAGGTTGTGGTTTTATCCCTCTTTTTTTTTTTAAGTTTTATTTTATATTGGGCTATAG